CTTTAAATTAAAAGTGATGTATGGTTGTAATTTAGTAATATCCTTTATATTATGTAAAATTATGAAATGTACGTATACATTTTTACTAAATTTTTTTTCCGTATTAAAAAAATGAAAATTTTACTAGCAAGATGTAGTACGGCTGTTTGCAAAGATAAAAATGAGAAGAAAAAAAAGGAACCAAAATGGTATTATTTTTCTAACATATGCTTACCAAATTATAGAATACAGAAATATTTAGAAGTAATTGTAAAAGTATTTTCAATAATACAGATCACGCAAAGTACTTGTAACATTACTAGTCAGATAATAAAATGTATATTTTTTTATATTTATCGCAGTTAGAGACATCTTTTAGAATCGTACATAATTTTCCATAACATTGCTTGTTAATACTTTTTGGAATGCTATATTGAGTTGAAAATTATCCACAATCGCATGTTAAGGGACTTAGTTTTCTTGCAAAATTTTTAATATAAATCACTTTGAGAAGAGATGATAGACAAATAGTGCCAATAATTGAACCTAATTAAATTAAATGTTAGATACTGTAATATGGTTTACAATTGAAATCAGTTTTCAATTTCTGTTTTCGTACCTTCGTTAAAGCTGAGGTATATAATTTATATTTAATATCAAGTTTGAATGATTAAACATAATGCTATTACTTGTTGTGATGATGATCGCGATTAAGAGACAAAGTGTGCTCTTGAACAAATAACAAGTAATTGCTGTGAATGTAAGACGTCCGCTGAACTGTATTACTTAAAAAGCAATGTAATTTTTTAAAGTGATGAAAACTAATCCTGAATAAAATATATGATCGGCAGCTCAATGTCAAGTGTACAATGTAAGTTGCAAATTTAGTAGGTAAATTAACACAGTTGCATTGTTACATTCTATAACGTTACACAGCTAGAGTTTTATACAATAACTGTGATTTTAGATGATCACGTTTTAAGCTAGGAGTAGTGCAGATACATTATTAATTATGCTCATTTATTTTGACTAAGCCATATTTAACTTTGTGTAATGACACCAATTCCATACGACGACCGTTATCTGACATCACAAAACATGACAAGGTAGCGTTGTGAATTACAGACCTGGGAGTGTAAGTTTGAACTTAGTACATAACCAACAAGATTATACACAGTATAATTTAAAATTATACTCTATTTTTCTTTCTATAATACCATAAACAATAATTCTAATGTTTGTTAATACAAAAGTACTGTAACAATGTTTGTATAAACATTTTACTGGATATTGTAAATGATTAAGTTTTTGAAGTATTAAGAATATTTGGTAATCTGACATTTGATATACAAATAATATGCTGCTATGACCAATGTAAGTAGTATTATTTATATTTACTATTAAAAAAAATAAGCATTATTATAGATTGATTTTTTAATAAGTTGACATCTACATTATTATTAGTTAAAACTATGAACTATTAGACAGGAGTAGTAAACATAAATGTAGACAATACACGTTTTTCACACAGATTTCTGTGAGTAAGATTATATAAAATTTATTTTGGGATACTAAGAAGCATTGTCAATGTTTAATAAGGGTTTTCAGTTGTAAGAGTGATTAGCCATTTTAAAATTTGTAAAAAATTTTTAGCTTCTGGAGTTTTCATGATTCACATATCTAAATGTATTCTTACTTAATTAGTCACTGTATAGTGTTACAGTAGCATGTAAAAGTTTAGGTAATAGATCTTTTAACTTAGGATAAACACATTGTCATCATTACCACTATGAGGTCTACGTTAAATGCTGTATAGTTATTACAGAGATGGTAAAATGAGTGAGAGGAAGATTCAGTCGCTCTGTACTGATTGGCTTCATCATATTCCGACTTTGTGGCGGTGCTGATAAGAAGTACAACGTGATTTATACATTAAAAAAAGTTTTTGCAGTATAAGTTTTCACTTTCAAAAAAAGTTTTGTCACAAACTTTCTTACAAATTTTTTCAGATATTTCCGATGTATTATTTTACTAAGTAAATTTTTTTTTAATATTTAAATATTTGTCACTTTTTAACCCCCAGAGTCTTAAATATGGCAGTTTATATTATGTAATAGATTTTTTCAAGGTGAGGGATTGAAGTTGAATAGAGGTCTTAATAAAAATATACATTTTAATGTAGAACTAAATAGTTTCGAAGTCTTCTTCGGCGGTTCTTCAAGCGTCTCATTGTTGAAGCCTCAAACAAATCGAATATATCATGTTTACCATTTTCTCTTTCAGCTCTCTCTCTCTCTCTCTCTCTCTTTTAAGGTATTAGTATCTTGAAGGGCATCTGGTGCCAAGTTATTGTATTATTTAGATTGAAACTGTTTTACCCGCTAATGGCCATTGGTGGTTACAGATATTTATTTTAACTGAAAAACTCTATTTTTAAGAATTTTTAAAGAAAACTTAAAAATGTAGGATCTTACTTAAAACTTTGTTTTCGAGCACTTAAGGTGGCTTTGGCGATTTTTTATTGCTATTTTTATTGGCATGATAACAATCTCTAAAATTTTGAAAGTATGTAAATAAAGTGTGCCAAATGAATTTGTGATAAAAAAATATAAGGATTTAACACTTAATTTTTCAGACAATTGCTACTAAAAACTTATCAATTTAACACGCAATCTTATGTGATTTATTACTAAAACGACCATAACTCCAAAAGTAAATGATAAACCTCTAAAATAAATACAATGTTTGTACTTTTTTATAAGTAATATTTTAAAATTGTGAGAATTACATGGAAACCACTTGGATTTTAAGAAAATTGAGAGTGATGAGTTTTAATATAACTATAGCCTATAGTTGGCTGCAGGCATATAGAACGATGGAACCGCGTCAACCGCGAAAAGCGTATCGCGTATCGCGTAAAAGTAAGGAAGGTTAGGTATACGCCAGTTTGTGGTCACGAAAAGGCGTAAAACCCAAAGTTCTCAACACCGTACATGTCAAATAAAAAGTTTTTAAGTATTTGTAATAGCCCACATACTTCTTTTTTTTATTTTTATTTGAGAGCCGTAAATGAATTTTATAAAGCTTAACAACACTTCTCACTTTTTCTTTGCGATATTGGGTCATTGCATAGGTCGTAATAGACTTTTCACAATTAGCCTAAAGTTCTTACAATTTGGTTTTTTATCCAAGGCTGCTGACTGTGTTCACAGGTTGCGTATTTTATTTACGCTTTACGCGAAAAAATTCGTCATTGTGTACTTACATGGGAGTAAAAAATACGCGCGTAACTTTATTTTTTCCATGAGTGCGAGCGAGACAGCATGTGTTATGCCAACGTAATATTAACTATGATTGGTTCAAAAATACTTACACGCGTATTTTTTACTCCTAATGTGCACGATGATAAATTTTTTCGCCTAATGCGTACTTACCTAACTCTCCCTGATCCTATGATTTTATGCGATACGCGATACGCTTTACGTTTTACGCAGTTCCATGTACTCACACCCTTAGGCCAACAAAACTCTGAAATTTGAATATGTGATTTAGATAACTCAATTATTATGACAATAAACGAAAAATGTTTTTCATAATCCATAGAATCTTGGGCCTCTCACTTGGCGTGGCACCTAACGCCCAAGCCACCTTAAAACGTGTGGGCAAGTATTGTAAAATTTTTGGACAAGAGAATTTGAGAGAAGAAATACATCAAAAAATAAGAACGTCGACATAATCCAAAAATTCAAACTAAGTAAAAATAACTCTTTTTTTCAGTGGTGGACTGCTTTTTCAAAACACATTTTGACTGATAATATCGAGAACATTAAGAGTGAATTACAAAAAGTATCAGTAGTAGACACGCATGACAGAAATGGAAATAACTTACTACATTACATTGCAACATCAAATCATACAAACATTGCAGAATATTTAATAACATTAGGTTGTAATATAAATCACAAGAATAATGCAGGTGACCCACCACTTTTACATGCAATTGCAAACAATCAGATAAATATGGTGGAATTATTTTTGAAGAAAGAAGCCATCATATCCAGTAGTTATTACCAAAATGAAAAAGGTCCGCTACATGTGGCTGCATCACTTGGATTTTACGATCTATATAAAATGTTACTAATAGCAGGATGTGATACGAAATCTGATGAAAATGGTACTTCTCTCCTGCACTATGCATCTATTAGTAATTCAGGTAATTTATTATTTATGCAGAAAACTAGTAAAGTCACTGTTATAGTGAAAAATTATCATTGAAACAACATCATATCAAGTATTAGAATATTAAACAATACAGCATCACACTGCTGTAACGATATTCTGGTTCGTGCAGTAATCTGAATTAGTATACCCATTGAAATAATGTTTATAAACCTCTCAATTTCACAATTATTGAACACTACATTTTAAATTGTTAAGCAAGGACAATTTTTTAAATTTAAAATCAGTCAGAAAGCATAAGCTTCTTAGTAAGATACTTTATTAAAATACAAGTTCATAAATGGTCACAACTTCCACAAAATGCTATTTAATTCTGTTTGTTACTAAATTTTTGTTTTTTTAATTTTGCTATTTCAGATTGATAAACGAAGTAGCCTATTAAGTATGTCGTGAATTTTTCTATGGCATTAAAGTGGCTACTTCAGTTTTTAGGGAAAAAAATATGAAAAATCTAAAATGCTAATCTGACCTTTATATTAGAAAAAAGTTACATTGCCTTCCCATTAATATTATGGTATACTAAAAATGGATTTGAACAAAATGTAAATTTCAGACAGATAAGTACCGTTATGTAAGTAGGGTGGGGCCGATATAACATTCACCGGAAAAAATCATTTTGAAATTTTTCTACGCCATTTGGTTCAAAATATTCTACTGTACATAAAAAATGCATTTAGTCAGTAAATAATATGGTCAGATAACTGGCTTAACTGGCACTCGTTTCCGTCAACTCCAGCCACTCGTGCGAGTCAATCACGAATCGTGTGGGGAATCGTCTTTTCTGCACTTGTTACGTAAATAACTATTATATATCACTAGTGGAGAAAACGTTATAAAACTTACAGATTTTATGAAAATATACTTTTCATGTTTGCTATTTTTGTCTAAGTATAATGTGGTCCCAACACACGAAAAACGAAAAATCGTTCTGAAATAGCCAAAAAATTGTTTTGTCGTATGCGATTTTATTATTTGACAGTTACTGACAAAATGTCAATACAAAACTTGTTTGGATATCAAAATAAGCTATAAAAATAGTCTCAAAATAAAATCCTATAATTCAAATAACACTTTTTGCTCTGGTAATCGATTGGTCATGCCTGATATACAAGACGTATAAGGTAATCATATAATCATATACTAAAAAAATTTCTTACTTTATTATTTCTTTGCTGATATTGTTTGATTGATTGAGCACTATGATAAATCTCACTGATAAAATTTTTTTTTTTTATTTATATCAATTTAATTAAATTTCAATTTTTCAAACACCAATTAGTACAAAGATACTTAATGATAATGAATATATTATTTAGTTAGCTTTTAAGCAAATGTTTCAATAAAAAGTAAGGAAGCTGTTGGATGAAAAAATGAAATAATGTTTATTTTAACAACATAGCCATTTTTTCAGTTGCTATCGGAATATTCCCTCCAATATTTAGTGAATCGAGTCTGAATTGATTTCCTTTGTATTTATGTACCCTAATTACGTAACGTGAAGTTCAGACCAAGAATATAATTTAAAAAATGTACTATATTGGTCAAAAGATACAATAACCTTTCAAATACACAGACGAACATTTAGCAATAATTTTGTTGTTATAGGTTTTGATAGAGTTGAATTAACTAAGACCTTAATTGAAAATGGTTTTGATGTTAACGCAAAGTGCAACGATGGAAGCACACCACTTCACTTTGTCAGTGCATATGGAAGTATCAGATATGGTTCCAACGCCATTATTGATTTGCTACTGAAGGCGGGTGCAGATCTTGAAGCAAAAGTTACAAATGGATCAACGCCGCTCTTTTGGGCGGTAATACATGGTAAATTAGAGACGGTACAGCAATTAATAAGAGCTGGAGCTAACTTGCATGAAATCGATCCCAAAGGAAAATCCTGTTTACATTACGCTGTTCAGAATCTCCATCCCAAAGTTGTTAAATTACTTCTAGATAATGGCGCTTCTGTGAACGCCTTAGATGCTGACAGTGTAAGTCCATTGTGGCAGTGCTTACAGAGTTGTTGCGTGACATTGTCATATTCGAGAGAAAATTATGATGACTGTGATGAATTCATCGAAAAAATATATTCTCTAAACCAGGTGATCATATATAACATTTAAAACAAATTTTTTTTTCTCACATGATAATTATAAGCTTAGAATTTATGAGAAATCTTGAGCAGAGTCATTTTTCTTCTCAAAGATACCCTGAAGTGCACGTTAATATTTAGAAACGTTTAAAAATAATAAAATCATAGTGTGAACAAATATAACAGTGACATTGTGCACCCATCATAAACAATAATTGTTTTTAAAAATAGTTATTTAAAATAATAGATTTCATAGATCAATATTACGCAGTTTATGACCAAAAATTTTATTGTTACTAAATGTTTTGTATGTATATGATCATCTAAATTGCATAAAGTAGAACCTTAACAGAAATACGTTTTGAAATGTTAATTGTTGCAAATAAATGTACTACATCTTATTTACGTAATCTTATTGCCACCAATTATGGTAAATTTTTTTTTTTTTTAAAGTACTTTGATTGTAATTCAAATGTATGAAACATACTTAACTGTATTACCGATATCCTAAAATATTCTCGTTTCCATACGTTTTGTTCGAATATACTAAAAATGTGGTGTATTGACTTATTTTTGCTTTTTGGAGAACCGACATCCAATGGTAGCGTTACTTCAAATTACTCTCATACTAAATACATGTTTTACCCAGATTATTACTTAATTTTATGAGCATTAAATTTTTAACCTGCTAATTAAACTGCCTAAATCGATCATACACAATGATTATATAAAGTCTTCAGTCACATGTCAATAAATTTATTGAAAAAGAAGTTTGTTTTTTGTTTCAGATTAACAACCAAGTCAAGTGTATCGATCTGCTTACAGAATACGGTGCAGATATTGATTCTGCTTGTGTCATCAAAAAATTATCTACGCCCATTTTACCCATCTATGCAGCTTTGTTGCTTAACCATTATAAAGTTGTACGCCTACTATTAAACAGTGGAGCTACTTTTGACTTTGAACATCAATACGGTCGAATGGCACTTAAAAGATTCGGCAGTCAACATTCAAAATCTATACTTGAATTAATAAAATTTACTGCCAAATGTGAAGTGCAGAATCGAGGTTGTGGCCCAAAGAATTTTCAGCCAGAACTAATAAAAAAAAATCTGCAGACTTATTACTCTCGTTGTAAAGATGAGTTGAGACTTATGAGAACAACATACGTACATCATAGACTTTCGTATTTACAAATATTATTTCGATCTAATCTTGAATCTTATGTGCACAATGATGCTATAAAAAGGGTAATCAGTTCAACCAATACTCAAAAGCTCCTACCCATTTATTATGAATTATTAAATGATAACATTAGTGAAGAATTAGACAGGTTAGAGCTTGTGGAAGAAACTTTGCAAAATATAATGCAGGTACTACCGTTGCCAAAGAATCACGTACACATTATATTTATTAATGTTTGCAGTTACCTTGATAAAAGGGATTTGCGAAAGTTAGTACGTCTTTAACTTAAACAGAAGAAGAAGATTTGTGTAAAACTAGGTAAATTATTTGTTCAATTTTGATAGTACAATCAAACACACTCTAAACTGAGTAATCATTTTATCTTAGATAATGAGGAATCTTCATAATTTATTATGTACAATTGCCTACAAATTGTCATTCATGATGATTGTTGCAGAAACAATTTACTAATTGTTTATTGAGCTACCAAAATAAATTTTATACATACATTTTAGTGAAATATCACTCATCTATTTTTGTACACTAAAAGGGTCACGTATCTGATTTGATGTAATTAAATCAATCAATTTCAACTTAATAAAATATCAAATAAAACATAATATTGTGGTACATAGTTTAATTTTATCATTACATTAAAAAATTTTACATAAATTTAATGCATTTTAAGAGCAGTCTAGAGATAGTTAAATTTGTTTACCGTATCGACAAAGCTGATTTGATTTTATAGCTTCACAACATTATTTATTAAATAACTAGCTATTTAATGAAAACTTAAGCGTTGACACATTTTTGACACTTCAAAAAATAATTTAAGCCCAAGTTTGGTGTTATGCATTGAGAATTAGGGACAGTCTGTGGATAGTTAAAGTTTACTATTTTATTGATAAGTTTAATACGATTTTATATTTTCATAATATTTTTACCGTAATAAGAAGTAATTTTATTTAATAAAAAAGTTTTTGCAAATTCTTGTTATTTTAAAGACCAACTTAAGCCAAAACTCGACGAGACTGATTGAGAATTAAAGGTGAAACATAATAAATAAGAATGTTTGACAACAAGCTCTGCCACCTGCAGCACTGCCGCAGAAGAGCCATCATAGTGTTTTAAACGTATAATTATATGGATGTAAAAAAAACATATATCTACCATTCTTGAGTGAAAAATAAGTGTGTATAAATACAATTATAAGTACAGAAAAGTACAAAAACCAATATGTCTTTATTAGCTGTTAGTATTGATAATCGTACTTAATTTGTACTACCTTTGGTGTAACTTGCTTTTTTTCCTTTATGAAACTTTTTGCTAGTCTGTTATTGATCACATAAAAAACTTTTTTTAATCATTTGAATTAATTTTATGTAAAAAATTTTGATGAAAAGTCATTTGTTGACGTTAGATATAACTAGCCATCCCGTTATTTTCTATGCTTCATTTTTTTTGCTCTCAATAAAATCATTTTATTAAAGCCTAAAATAAAAATTCTTATCACATTATCATAGGGTCTGATTGCGAGTTAAATAAACGCATTAACAAAAAAGGTAAACAAGTTTCTACAACTTTATATGTATTTTATCAATCAAAAATAAATAATTTATTTCATAATGTTATTTTGTCACACTTTTTCTTCATAAAATGTATTCAACAAATATGATTAACACTGGTGAGTATCATTTCTGTTGTAATATTTTTACTGTAAATAATACTATACTGGTTTCGGCATGCCAGCTTTGATTCATATCAATGAACAAAATTAAAAAAAAATATGGTACTGTATTACGACATTATTAATCTTCTAATTCTATCTGAGAAATTGAAATCGTCTTCTTTTTTTCTCCGTCAGCCAAAACTGAAAGAATTTTTGAAAAATATACGTATCTCAATTGTAGGTGTAAACCGACTCCTAGCGCCCCTAGCGTATTTAATCTGAACTCGAGTTGAGTCAAGCATCCAATGATTTGAACACATGAAAACTATCTAAGTTAAATTTAATGTTTGGTGTATTCATCATTCAAGCTGTGTCTATATAATTATCTTTTATGTACAAGGATTTTTTGCGTTATACCACTCAATACTGCGTCCATCGATGTTAAAATCTATTCGTGTCGATAGGCGTTTGTTTCAACTGTTAATTTAAACCGAAAAATACCTTATTTTAAACAGTCCATTAAAAGCTAATAATTAAAAAAAAAAAAGAAAAAAAAAATAGATGCGGGCTTTTAAGATGG